ATATATACTGTAGTATACATAATATATATTTATTTAAAGTATATATAAATTATATAATTTTATATAACTATATAATTAAAATATGATATTAATATACTGATTATAATATTATATCTTGATGTGGAAATTATAATATTATATAATATTATGCAACATATAATTATATCTTGCATTATATTATATTATATATTATATATATTAGAATTATATTATATATTATATATTATATTTTATATATACACCATAGTATATATATTATATATATTAATTATATAAAGTATATATAAATTATCTTATATAATTTTATATAATTTACATAACTATATAATTAAAATACAATATAAATATACTGATTATAATATTATGTCTTGATGTGGTAATTATAATAGTATATAATATTATGCAAGATATAATTGTATCTTATATTATATATTATATGTTATATTGCATATAAATATATATGTATAATCTCCATAGGTATATATAGAGTATATATATAGAGAGAGTATATATATATATATACTCTCTCTCTCTCTCTCTCTCTACATATATATACACACACATATATGGATATATACATATATATGTGTGTGTGTATATACTCTATATAGAGAGTATATAAATATACATATACATATATATAGTATATATAGTGTGTATATATATATATATAAAAATAGTATATTTCTCTATACTATGGTCACTAATCATTCAAAACCTCAATCCAAGCCAAACTTCTGCCACCACCAGCCCCTCCTCCCAGTAAAATCCTCCTCGAGGAACACTCAGGCCCCGAAGAGTAAATAATAATAAAAGAAATAAATAGAAAAGAAAGCTTTTGAGGGACGCGTTGTCAGGCGCAGAATGGCTTCGGTAACCACGAGTGTGGTTTGTGTTACAGATAAAGCAGAACTAAACTAATTAACAATTATTTTTCCCTCCCCTGGCTTTAAAACAACAGAAGAGCTCCTGCCTCTCCGTGTCAATTAGTCACCGCGTAGGAATAGAGGCTAATTAGGCTGCATTGATGGCTTGCCAAGGGG